CTGGAAAAAAAAAAAAAAAAAAAAAAAAATCTGGGTAAGCTAGTTGTTGATGTCATTGAGTGGCTGCTTAACAAGTTAGCAGCGAGTATTTAAAAAAAAAAAAAAAAAAAAAAAGTTAGCAGCGAGTAAGAATACCTGGACGCTCGGTTTTTCTCCTCAGATAGGAGGGCAGCAGAGAGAGGGATGTGGGGTCAGGAGTGAGCGTTATCTTGCTACTATAGGGAGCCCGCCTGGGCTCCACTGGCCTGCGTTAGGGACGGATCACAAGACCCTCAGACAGGACCCTCAGACAACCCTATAGATCTGAGTCTACTGATTGTAGGGTTCATTTTTAACCTTTTGCAGCTATTTTATCCAGGCGGGCCCCCGCTGGGGGTGTGGTGGTCCCACCTCGTAAGTGAAACTGGGTAAAGCTCCCAGCCTCCCAGGGTAGGCTGTGAGGAACCCCCCTTCAAGATATATCTTCGAAATACAAGGGGGATGATCCGACAGAGTACTTGCACCAAAAATTGGAATAGTTCGTTGAAAGATGGGCCCCTCCAAAAAAAAAAAAAAAAAAAAAAAGATGGGCCCGCGGCATTGGGGACGGGAAAGAAAAATTGGGACCCACAGACACGACAGCTTGGGGGCTTTTCCTACACATAGTGGTGGTGGTTTAAGCACCTGAATCTGGACTGATGAAGGGGAGAGATTCGGAAATTTGAAGGGCAGTTTTCTGCACCTTTCCACACACACACCTGAATCTGGATTGGTTTATAGTAGATATTCGGGAAAAAGCAGTTCAAAGACAACCAGATTCCGGCATATCAATCTAATCCAGTTTGCTAGAGGGACCTCCTGGCGCATCGACTTACCCTGAGGGCACCCGTGCCGAGCCGCTAGTGTGTATGTACCTGACCCATAAACGAGGCATTATCCACCAGGTTCAAAAGCCCGGAGAGCAAGCCAAGTATCTCAGTCGGTTGCTGCCAATCGTGCCCCAGGCGGTCAGTGCGGATTGAACCCACGTCCTCCTGAATGCGGCTTGCACTCCTACATATCTATCAATCTATCTACCTACATATATATATGTAGTCAAAAATAGCTGCCCGGTAAACCGTAGGCAGAGAGGGAGAAGAGGGAGAAGAGGACAACAGACGAGGGGCTGTGACAAACTGTTTCGTCGGAGTTTCACCGACAATATATATATTTTTTAGACCAATTTCATCCTAGGTGCAATGGAGCTTCATTTCTGAATCTGGGCATTTCATACCCCAGATTCAGAAACAAAGCAGCGTGCTGTCTCTCTCTCTCTCTCTCTCTCTCTCTCTCTCTCTCTCTCTCTCTCTCTCTCTCTCTCACACACACACACACACACACACACACACACACACAGACACACACAGACGTGCGTGCACACACACGCACTTGGAGCTAGTGTACAGCGAGCACCACAACACGCACTGTCCCGCGCACGCCCCAGGAAGACAGTTATGCGAACTTGAGCCTCTCTCTCTCTCTCTCTCTCTCTCTCTCTCTCTCTCTCTCTCTCTCTCTCTCTCTCTCTCTCTCTCTCTCTGTGTGTGTGTGTGTGTGTGTGCGCGCGCTATATTCCGGTCGATCTTGCGCTTAGTCGTTCGTTGTGGTCGCCTGCCAAAATGGCCAATTAGGAAAAAAAAAACTTCGGGAAATCCATTAAAACTAGTGGAACGATACACAGAAGATTAGCATGGCCCCTGCGCAATCAAGGATGACACGAATAAATCGAGAAATGGTTCCCCCCCTCCCCCCCACAAAAAAAAAGAAGAAAAAAGGATCACCCGTGAGAGGTGCGAGAACAGGGAGCCAGCAAGGTAGGGACACTCAAGCAGGGGTAATCGAAACCGGACTGAGGTGAGAAAACAGGGAGGGAAAAAAAAAATTAAAAAAAAAATAAACATGGAGACAGCGAGATAGGGGCAATCAAGCCAAAGAACGCGCAGCCAGCCAACCAGCCAGCAGTCAATATTTCCGGACTGGTCAAAGGTTGATTGCCCGCTGGCAATCAATGTCGACCGACTGATCAACCACCTGGCAATTAATGCCGACCGACCGATCAACCACCTGGCAATCAATGCCGACCGACCGATCAAACCAGCTGGCATCAATCCTGAACGACCAGCTCATTGCCAGCAGGCAAGCTGACGATGCGACCAGAACGACTAACAGACCCGGCAGGAGATCAATCACTCAAGAACGACCCAAAAGAACGACCGATCTCACAGACCGAACGACCACAACGAACGACCAAGCGCAAGATCGACTGGAATATAACAAACACACACACACACACACACACACACACACACACACACACACACACACACACACACACGCAAGATCGACTGGAATAT